TTTAAAACTTTTTTGGATCTGAACTCCAGCATCTGTTCTCTTCTTGGCTGCCTAAACTCTGTGTCTGTGCCAGGACTGTCGTAGCTAACGTTAGCTCTGGTGCTCTCAGCAATATTTTTCTTTTTTACTATAGTGATACTGATATTGATAATAAAACTGCACAATTTGCACATAACCATGCTCTTATCCAACGAACCGTGTCGTACTCCTCCACTGTTTCTCCACTAGTTTGTGTGCTGACTACACTCAATGCATCCGGTGCATCTTTTTCAGGCTGGCACACACACTTTAGGTGCAATAACGTTGTCCCCTTCCCTGCTGTGCATCACTGAGCTGAGAAGATTCTCATTAAATGCATTAATTTCTGGACATGTTATTTTGTTTTTAATTAATGAATCAAATCAGGACTTTTAGGTTCTAATTTTATTTGAAAGTAGTGTTGAGGGAGCACCAAAAATTGCCCAAATCCCTGGGCACCTGAAGGCACCAAAGGTTACCCAGGGATCTCCAACCTATATCTACGACAACCATGAAGACCAGTTCTTCATGTTCTTCTAGTTGGTCTAGTTTCTAGTTAGTTCCATAGTGTAGCAGTTAGCAGAAAGCAGAGTCCTGGGTTTGATTCCCAGAATAACCACATGCTTGGCACCAACCAGGGGCAATATCTTCTGTTAACACAAGAATTTCCTAAATATGGGATCAATAAAGTTTGAATTATTATTGATATTATTATTATACTTTTTCTTCTACTTGTTCTTCTTCAAGCTCTTTAAAAACAGACACTTATCGTTTCTCACATGCAGCTCTGTGTTGTCTTTAATTGGAGTGTTTTTCAAGTTGTTTTTTTTTTTTTCTCCAAGGTCAGGAGAATCAAAGCTCTTTTGCTTTTTTTTTACTGTGTATCCATCAGTCTATGAGGACTTCATGGCAGATTTATATTTAACTCATTTTTTTCAAAAATGCCTATTATAAAATATTTTAAAATTAAGACGTCACCAATCATCTCTGACAGCAACATGTGTATCGGTGTTTTTTGAAGTAGAATAAATTTTGTCTAAAATAGGTTGTGTTATTAAAGGGTGCCCTGGTCATGGACACAGCTCTCGGATCGCTGTAACTGGTTGGGGGGTAGTTTGCAGTGCCTTAAAGGCGAGGTAAGGTGTCTGAGCCCATAAAAAACAATAAAACAAAGATGGAGGAAAGCAGAGAGAAAACCAGAGAAAAGGTGAGAGAGAGAGAGAGAGATGTAGGAAATCAAAGGATTACAGGCCTTATACATGAAGTCGAGTCAAGAGGCCATCAAAGCGTGTAAACCACAGATTCCCATTATTGTGTGACATTAGCTTATAGCTGACTGTAACCCCTAATCATCCCGTGGGCGCCTGCAGCACACACTCCGTTTAATGACTTCCTAGTTGAATGATTGCTGTTCCCTTAAAGCAAGAGTTCTGCTGGAAAACCAAAGTGCCACATGTGATTTTTCTCTCACCAGCAGGATGCTTTCTTTTCATTGTAAAACACTTATAAATAATAATAATAAAAATAAATAAATCCGAAACTCCTATAAAAAAAAGAGGTTGAAAAAAAAATCCATGCAAATGAGCTAAATCAATTAAGAGATTCCATTATGAGATTTGGACGATGTAAACTTCATGGTCCACTAATTGGGCAGCCAACCGCTCGGTGCCTAATAAATGAAAAAATGCATTTCAATCTATTTCCTGCATTTCCTTTATTTTCTATTCCCTCTCACACAAACACAAGCATAGTCTCTCTCTCTCTCCTTTGTCTCTCTCTTTCTTCCTCTCTCTCTTGCCCTCTCTTTGTATCAGTTTCTATTCTCCTCCTCTATTTTCCTCTCACCCTGAAAGCCTGTCCCAGGGGGCTTCAGCAGTTGTCAGTAATGAAGTAAAAGGGAAATCACATTAAAAGAGCTACAAACAGGTCAGTTAACTGATGCCTGGCCTGATATGACAGGGAGAGAACAGCCAGTTAAGTCCTTTGCTCCCGCCGCTTTCTGCTATTTTTAGTGTGATTAGTAGCCATTCTGTCAGGAGGGACTAGTGAGCATGAGTGAGAGAGAGAGAGAGAGAGAGAGAGAGAGAGAGAGAGAGAGAGGGAAGAAAAAAATCCCAGTATTCACCATGAGTATTCAACTCAAATATCTTAATTGAGTAAATGTCACTCGTGGGATTCCCAGGACGCCGAGAAGCTTTACTTTTTTAGATGTATTCAATTTATTGATATAAAGACCCTTCATTAAGAGGCAGTGGGGGATTCGATGTCAGGTCTCAGATTTGCATCACACGAGCGTGTGCAGCGTGTGCTCCGGTCCATTTTTATTTCACAAACTACACATAGTCTGCTTTGAAGTTCTGGTGCGGGTGTAAATCTCACTCAAACACCATGTGATGCATAAATCTGAGCACATTCAGCCCCAGAAGCATAAACCTAAGGCAGAAGAAACTTTCTTTCTTCTTCTTCTTCCTTCATCGTGATGTCCTTGTGAATTATTAAACTGAGTTGGTCCTTTTGGTTTGTGCCTGGCTGTGCACATATAATCTCTTACCTGTCAAACACTTCACTACGCACGTACACACGAACACGAGGCAACAAGCCAACTTTTATACACCCAAGAAATCCTTAAATGCAAAAATAGCAGATGTCGGGTAGTGGGGCTTTTTTTTTTTCCTGGCATGTTCCCGCAGCTCAGGCAGATGGGCTTCCTCGTGGTTTTCTTCTGTTCCTTTCTTTTATTTATTTATTTTTTCTTGAAAAGCAGAGCCTAACAATGTTTTCCCATCTTCACAAATAAGACAAAGGCATCTTCACATTTGTTTTGCTCCACATAATGTGTTATTCAAACCAGTGGCATGGATGATGCGGGTGAATGATCACATTAGGTTTTTATGTATGCTGCTACTTCACACTACGCTGATTGGCAGATGGCGACTCTCTTGAATAATAAATGTAATTAGTCTTGCAGAATAATTGTCATGCTGCAGTGATTAATTGTACAGCAAGTACAGCAGCCTGAGTGGAACTGATTGATGGAAGTTCTACAGTTCTGTACAGTATACCTGAACCTCCAGGATCTCCATATGGATCCGGAGAGAGAATTCAAATGGTGAATGTAAAAGTGCACAACCAAGTGCCTGTAAGCGTGGGTGTGAAATTAAGAGTGGGTATCATGTTCAAACAGTTCCATGTTTTATGCAGAAGCTGCCGTCACCGCTGATCGCATGGAGTAATTTCATTTTCATGCATGATGTGCAGCCCCGTCGACCAGGGAAATGCATATGAAGAAAAGAGAAAGAAAAAAAAGAGTGTAGCACATTTTTTCCTCTCTATTTGACTGTGATTATTAGCTATGCCCTGTAACCATGGTGATGGAACAGCCCCCCAAAAGAAAGAAAAATAAAACACTGACGCTTCTCAACCCCAAGGTGAGATGATGAGGAGAGACTCACCGTGCCATCAAATATATGCCGCTGGGATAATTGTTTTTCCAAAATGTACTTTAATCAGGGACATAACTCATTCTGAGCAGGCTTGGACTTTGACTGTATATCCAGCCTGGTTTCATTTGTGTAGGGTGCACCTTCCAGAAGCCCTGAGACAAAAACAGGATCTATTACTATTACTATTACTACTTGTTTTTGGATAATTTTGTAATTGCAATTTGTATTTTTTTTTAGTTCGTTGTAGTTTTTTTTTATTCAGTGTTGTTGCCTTGGATATATATAAATAACCATTAGGTAAAAGTGGAGGACAGCAAGGATGAGAAGTTAATTTCGAACCCAGGGGGAGATTTTATTTTATTATTTTTATTCAGCACCGCACCCGCCCAATTAAATATTATATTTACTCTTTTACTAACACCCTGTGTCTGAATTATTCTTACACTTAGGGCCACATTTATTAAAAAAATATAATCTTACTTTTAAAACCTGCATGAAGCTCATTAATGAAGTTTAAAACAAATGTTTTAGGAAGCCCTGCTGCTGCAAAAATTGGTTTCTGAAATTGTTATTAATATGAAAAGTTTGTGTCTTTCCAACAATACCTCCGTCGGTGGCAAAACAAAAAAAACAGAGCTGATCTAAGACGTCAACTTTTTATTTTTAATTTTTTCTTGGGCACACAGAAATCCATCGTCCACCTAATTACACTTACTTTAATGTTCGCATATACTTCACATTTCTACCACAATGTTTACTTTTTTGCTGATACAATAAATATCTTGTGTCTGTTTACCAAGTACACAAATTCAACAAACTTAAAAAAAAGTTTGTTTCTCTCCTAAAATAATAGAATTGTAAATATTTTAAACATTTGTGTTTCACCAATGGCGAAAAAAATGCATTCTATTTATTTTATTTTATTCTCATAGTTCAGTACAGTACAGTGTTCTGGCGTAAACAGCATGTTGTGGTTGTTACATTCTGCTGGAAAAAGAAAATCCACTAGTCACTCTTTAAAAGTGGAGGTAGTTCGGTGGAGGAAGGCGTTTGATATAATTTCCAGAGAAATTTCTTTATTCTTGTTTTCATAAGAATTTTGCAAAATAAGTATTAAAAGGTAAAACTTGTCCATCTCATAATTGAGAAACAACATGAGTCATTTTAATAAAGTCAGACGGAAATAAAGATGCTTTTAGTCTGATTTGTGCTTTACTGAGCAGCTGCTAAAGAAGGTTTATTAAACCATAACCTCAACAGGTCAGATGAATTCTTCCAGCTACGGCTTTGTCTCACTGCAGAGAACAACCTTCTATTTTTTCCTTCAGCGTGGGGGTTTAAATGCTTTGAAAGGAAAGTTTTCAGTGAAATATCACATCTCACGCTTTGAGTGGACTCTTAGAACATCTTTCAAAACTTTTCTTTTTGACAATAATTGCCCCTTAATAAGTTCACTCGGTTTTCTGTGCCATCTTTGGTGCAGCAAACGCTTCATAACAAAAACTGTGGATCTGAAGAACTTGTGTGCTGTTTTTCCAGATCCGCTCAGATCAGGATAAGGAAGCTGGTATCCGCTACAGCATCACGGGAGCAGGGGCTGATCAGCCCCCGAGTGGCATTTACAACATAGATCCAATCAGCGGCAACATGTTTGTCACCCAACCCTTGGACAGGGAAGAGAGGGCCTCCTTTCATGTAAGTAAAAAAAATGACTTTTGACTATTCTCTGATACGTTTTTCTTCCACTGCCTTTTCTTTTCTCGTCTCTGTCTCATTCCTACTAAAGATGATGCTCTTTGTCCACATGGTGTTTTGAGCTGAAGGCTCTTGAGAGGACCTGCTCTGCTCATGCTCATTACAAGTGTATTGTTCCCAAACATCAGCCTCTCCAGGCTCTGATTGAGACTTGGAAAATGTGTACTTCTATAGTAGATTGAAGTTTACAATTGCAAAGAGCAGCACTACTTCTGTGAATGCAGGTTGGCTCAAATTTCCCATCTTTTCTTCAAATCCCGAGCAGGCTGAATACCATGGAAATCAAACCTCTCAAGGTTCCATGCTATCGTTTCTAGAAGTTTTTGTTCTACCTTCAGTCACATGAGCTGCACGTATGGAGTCATTTTCTCTGCTGCAGCAAATCATTTTGGTCTCCATATCATCATGGACACACCTGTGTATTATTCTCCAGCAATTAGAAGAGACGCTGACATGTTTTTTTTTTTTTTGTTTCTTTGTTTTTTTATTTTAGGGCCACACATGTTACACATGAAATGATAGAAAATAGTGATTGAAGGACCCAGGGTGTTAATGAATGAAGAGACTAGACTATAATGCAGCCAAAAACACAACACAAAATATAAAATATAAACAAAATATTTTAAAGGCAGAAAAAAAAGAAGCACACAGTCAAAGTGAACATACAAACGCTAGCCAAAAGAACAAAAAATCTCTTGTATGCCTCAAGTTACCTGCAGACAGTAAAAAAAAAAAAAATCCGACTTAATGATCACACACATTGGGGAGGATGTTGTGTTAACAGCATATTTGCCCCTTGGAGGTGCCAAGTATGTGGTTCTTAGGGCTTGAACCCAGAATCTTCTGCATGTCAAGCAAACGTGTAGACTGGCGTGAGAAACAATTTAACTACTAAGGAAGAGCCAATAGTCACTTTTTAGGACAGTCCAGGAAAGAAGGATCGAGAGCGACCCGAGGATCTCCCGATTAGAGGCGCAGCACTGTAGCACTGCAGCCATTACACTAGAGAAAACCTCATAGCTCTCCAGTGTGCTTGAAAACAAAATATTTTTGCTTCAACTAAATATTTTGTTTTTCATACTACTAAAAAAAGGGCATCTCTTGAAATTTGCCTGTCAACATCTTTTTTTTTTTTTTTTTGCGCATACTTTAGTTGAGTTGCCTTTTAATGCCAGAGTAATGGCTGGTTGGCTGAACCACTGGGGTGAAATCACATTTCCTTTCTGAACAGCAAGTGTTACTTGGTGGTGTTGGTTTAATTAGTGTCTCTTTAAATTTCAAAGTCTAAATATAGTGAAGTGCTGCTTTGGTGACACATGTTCACGTTGCTGCACCCGCACAAAATACTGAACTTACAAACATTTTTTATAGCTGTTAATCCTAATTAACTTACATACTTCACTTTTCTGTTTTTTATTCTCACTAACACAACGCAGTAGATACACATACAGACATTGTCCCTGCGGTTGTTAGCATACAACGATGGGAAACGAGAGCTGATTACATGTGAGACACTTTCAGGTGTTAATGTTTGTCCATGTGTTTGCAGTGGCGTCCATTGGACTGATCCCTCAGGAGTTACGTTAATGGCTGACGTCTCAAATGGACATGTTAGTCGCTCACTTGTCCTTTGTGTAGTGTTTTACATTGCCTCTCCCAACACATTGAAGGCTCACCTTGTGATCTCTGAAGCTGTGGTGTTCAAAGGTGTGGGCTGACAGCTGTATAATTAGTTTCATGGCCCAGAGGACAAACACACACAAACCTGGAGGCTGGAGTTCAGGAGTTCTCCCTGTGGAACCTCAGGCTAAATGGTTTCATGGTCATGTGAATTAAATATGCAGACCTCATGAGACGAGTGTTGGGGTCAGCCGGTTGCTTAATATATACACCTAACAGGTGTAAGTGTGTGGCAGCGAAGACACCTCCACTCGGTGTAAGAACACTCGTCATCACCTGTGACTGTCACCATGATGGATGGCTGGGATGCTGCAAAGCTAATTTATAGGCATGCTCCTGTCTGTGATAAGGAACAGGATGAAGGAGAGTGGATCACTTTAGTGTTCGTCATACTCAACAATCCTGCTCATACTAGAAAAGTGTAGGTGCAAACAAACACACACACGAGCATACACACACAGTGGTTTCCTTGATTATTTTATAATAATGATCAAATCCTCATTTTTTTTAAAAAAGTCATTAAAAATATCCAATTCAATTTGTCCCTTTAAGAAAAATGCTTTTTGCGGAATCATCTGGACGAGTGGACTCTGTAACAAAAACTCGCTAAAATATTAAAATATATAATATTTCCTATATGTTGCTATTTTCTAGAGAAAGGTTTAGCATTTATGTTCATGATAGCAAAGAAGATGGTCAATGAAGTAGCCTAGAAAAGCCATAATTTTACAATTCATAAAATTGCCAGAGAAGTGAGGTCTAGAAAGACATTTTACTCAAAAGGCAGTAAAAAAGAAAGCCTCGGTTCTTATCCTTCATGTGCACAAATCGAAATTTTTATCTGATATAAAAATTGATGAAGTGGTGACTTAACAATCAACCACTAATTCATACAAAATTTAATGACTCGTGATGACCTCATTTTCTGTCCCCAAAAAGTTAGAAGCTCCCATAATAGACAGATTTTGTCCTCTGAACATGAGGAATTCCAGCACACACACACAAAGAAGCAGTATATTGTCTTTCCATGGCTGCTGTAATCTGCACTAATCAGCACATTGAGTTCAATAAAGAAGGTTTTTTTTTTACATGTCCAGAAGATGGAACAGCTGCTTAGTAAACAGTTCCACACTGCCTGTAGTAAAAACGGGAAAACAGCATGTTGAGGTTAGGGCACCTCATGTTGTCTACATCTTCTACTTAGTCTCCCGCTGACCCTTGTTGCTTGTGATGTGATGTATGATTTAGTGTAGGAGAATGTAGGCAGGCTTTGACCCAAGGGAAATTTAGTCCAGGGCTCACTTTCTTTCAACTTGACAAGAAGTTCCCACCAGTGCTGGGCTCTCGCAGGCCAAACTTTGCTTGTTAGTTTTTGGTTCAAGTAAAAAGAGACGCGGCTGCTGTATCTGTCAGACTGGCACCAGAAGGAAGTGATCTGCGAGGTGAGGAATGTGGGTGTTAGCTTGAGGTTCGGTTTTGTCGGAGAGTTCTGCACTCTGACCAAAATGAGAATATCTGAATTTTTCTATTTTAGCTCCAGCTCCAACATCCTCGTCTAATACTATACGCCC